CTGCAGCTACCATTTTAATCGGACTACTACTAACACCCTGACTGACAGGGTGTCAGGTTACTTTCTGACTCTGTCAGGTTACTTTCTGACTCTGTCAGGTTATTTTTGTACTGTTGCATTTGTTGTTGTTTTGCTGTGTTGTTCATATTAAATTGTACTTCTGACTTGGAGTCTCTCACTGGTTTGCTTTCAAACCAGCACAGTAACATCTTTGGAGCACTAACTATATTGCACAAATAATGGTGAACATCTCACTACTAGTAAAGAAAGAGGTATTTTTTAAATAGCAGAGCCTACTTCGATCCCCATGTAAGATTTCTAAAGTGAAAAATAAAGAAATCTAAATGTATGAAAAAATATTATAAAACTATATTATAAAACTGTAATTCTATCATGAGAGAATTCTAAATCAACCTATTGTTACAGTATTAAGGAAGTAAATACCATTAAAAAAAGGATATTCCAGAGTTATGACACATTTTTCATCTCAAATTTAAAAAGAAATAAAAAAAAACATTTGCAGGATTTTTCTTCAGTTTTCACTATGTTTTTCAGTTTTTCAGAAAACAATTTTGTCTGAGGGATATTAAAAAAAAAACATTAAAACCAAAACAAACAAACAAACCAACACAGCAAAAGAAAAAGCAGTAAAAACAAGCCAACACCCCAGACTGATGGGTTCAGCTTTACTCATATTATTTTCAAAATACCATCTGTCATGTAGGTGCATGTGGTAAGCAGTTCACTATGCTTGCTACTGAAAGTCTATGTATGGTATACATAGTTCCTATTGAAAGAACATTTGAGAACATTACTGGAATTTCCAATAATTTAAGCAAACGTGTAATTTCCACAAGATGCAGTAAAGTCAGACACTCATTATTATTTTCCAGATTTTTTTTTCCTATTTTTGCTTTCTTTTCCCATTCTATTTTGCACATCCATAGAGATGTTCTCCCTCAGAGGAAATAAAGACCTTCAACTTATGATATCATTACTTCTCTGATAGCAAGAGGAGGGGAAAAAAAATGAAGGCAAAGGAAAAAATAAAACAGCTCCTAAAGGAACAACCCCCCCATCACTATCCACAAACATATCCGTAGGAGTAATTATTACTTCGTTTCTGTTCCATTCTATTTTAATTTTTGTTTCATTTCTTCTAAAAGTAAGGTGTTTTATTATTTTTCTCAATATTCCTACAATACTTCCTTTTAACATTTTCCTATTAAGATACATGTGAAGCAAAGGATTCCAAAATGTTCATTATACATTTAGGATATGCTCATATTCATTACTGCATATTCTGGTAGATTTTATGATCAATTCTGGTTTTAATTGTTTTTCATGACTTCCATTTAAACTCATATTTTAAGTGCTTTGTGACAAATAGATATTTATTTTCCCTTATTAAAATTCTGAAATTAATTTTTTAAG